CATCATAATAACAATAATAATAATAATAGTAATAATAGTAATGATATATTTTTTTATAGTAGAGGGTTTTACGGCGCTCGCAACTGCATAAGGTCATATGAGCGCCAAAGGGTGGGTGTCAACAGAGAAGTCCTTACAGGGAATCAGACTTACTCTGCTCACCTCTCTAGCTTCAACAGCACAAAATCTGCTTCGACTATCAAGGCTCCCCGGAAATAACATACAAAAGAAGTAGAGGAAAATGACGATAGTAAGGATTAGGAAAGAAAAAGTAGCAGTTCCCTGTTGTAGATCAGGCACAGTTATGAGCGTGACATGATGAATTTACAATTCTACTGAGCTTGAACGAGAAATGTCCCCCATTTGAAAACGGCCTAAAGACACTACAGTCAGTGGCACTGCCCCGGGGTAAGTAATAATAATGATAATAATAATAATAATAATAATAATAATTGTAATAATAATTGTAATAATCTATTATCTATACTTTTTAAAACAATATCATGATAATAATAAAAATAATAATAACAAATATAATGATGATGATGATGATGATGAGGATGATGATGATGGTGATGATGATGAAAGTCTACAGCTTTCCTCGACCTCTCCATCCACCTTCTCAATAACAACATTGAGACAGACCTCCATCTCAAACCAACCGACTCTAAGCGCTACCTCCCCCCTTCTTCCAACCATCCCAAACATATTTTCCATTCGGTTGTTTACAGTGGTGCACTCCAACTCCAACGCATTTGTTCCACGGATGAATGGTATAATGCAAGAATTAAAGCTTTCAGAGAAAACTTTCTGCGCAGTGGATACCAAAACAGTTTCATAACCCCCATCATAAACAAAGTGTGTAAACTCAGGGCACAAGGATGTACTTAGCTCCAAACTCCACAAACCTCATCAGAAAAGGCCATTCTTTGTCACCACTCACCCCCAAAATCTGCCCAATGTTCACAACATCCACAACCAATGCAAAGGCATTTTAGAAAGATCTGACAAGATGATGAAGTGCTTCTCTCAGCCCCCTTTAATCGCTCTCCGTCAACCCCCCAACCTTGGCAACCTTTTCATCCGTACGAAAGACACAACACATCTTCCTTCTTTGCTATCAAACATCTGTCGTCCTTATCTCCACTCCTTCTTTTTTATGTTTGTTACTCTCTTGTAACACCTCTAATCTTCTGGCGCTCATATGACCATATGCAGTTGCGAGCGCCGTAAAACCTCTACTAAAACTAAAACTAAGAGAATGTAAAGGGGTTCTCGTGGTCTAGAGGTTAAGGTCTTCGCCTCTCATTCAATAGGTCCCGGGTTCGAATCCGGATAGCGATGGGAAAATTT